ATGGTTGTGGGCATGTATATTAAAAAAGCTAGGGAATATTTTTTATTGAGTTTTTAACTCACTGATGAGCGGATTTCCCAACAGGCTATTGCTCAGTCAAGGGACCGAGATGACGCGAAAGTGTAACCGTGTAATGATGTCAATGTAGAGGTAGCTCTTTCTGACTTTCTCCTCAGTTATTTTAAGACCTTGAGTAGAGGTCCGAACAAGGATTGAACCCCGGGTTAAATTCCCGGTTCTGCCCTGCACCTTACAACGTACATGAAATCATGGGCGGATTTACTGGGGAGGTTAGGGGGGTTAACCTCCCTATAATCTCTCTAACCCATCAATAAAGTGTTCAACCCCACCAAAAGTTCGCTTCACCACTCCTATTTTGTGTGAAAGGCTTTAACCCAAATGCCTAACTAACCCCTGCCGAAGGTCACTGAGTGGTGCCGCTTGCACCCCACTAGAAATATTTCTACCTCTACCCCTCCTTTTAAATAAATGAAAATCAGCCCTTGCATGAAATTATTCTACTCACCGCTCCCACAACGTATGGGCTGCCTGCGTCTCCGAATAAATGTGAAATTAAGATCTGCAAGGCGGATGCTGTCGCTCGATACTGCGGTGATATGACCGCCAGCAATATATCTGCTACAGGACACCAAGTCATGAATAACAATGTCTCTCCAAAAAACAATAGTATCTACGAACAAACAATGGAGTGGTGAATCAATTAAACTTCGTGTTTGATATAGACAGAGCCACCGAGACAGAGGAGGGTAGGGGGGGGGGGGGATTTCCCCCGGCCCCCCAGGTCAAAAGGGGCCCCCAAAGCAACGCATGCTTGAATATAAATGCTAACTGCATTAGTGCTGGGCAACATGCAGTAAAGTGCAATATAATGTAAAACACTGTAGGACTGTTCGGTATACCGATATACCGAAAATATCGGTATTAAATCAATATCGGTATATCGATACCGGATATTCAACCATACCGATATACCGAAATTTCCGATATACCGGAATTTTTCGGTATACCGTGTTAAATTTACCAACTATATGGCGAAACCATAACCTTTATTTTACTACTGAATGGCAATTAAAAGAACTTTCTATACTGCAATGATTTAGAATTTCCACTTCAGTGAAATTTTTACACTGAGTACGTGTCGTTCGAAACATGTTCGAAACAGCTTCGAAATTATCGTTTTTCCTTTTAGAATTACTCAAAATTTCCTTCAAATTTCCATTAAAGAACTTTCCTTTGTAATTATCAAAGGAAAACCGGTATACCGATAATATCGGTATAATTTTTTCGGTATACCGATACCGGAAATTTCTCATACCGAACGTTCCTAAAACACTGCTTGTCTCAATTTACAATTATGATCAAGCGCTTCACCTCTGAGATCGTAGGTTGGATTCTCGCTACGGACTCATGTGAAAGGAGTCAGTCAACGCTCTGCCGAAAGTCGTGGAATTTCTCCGGGCGCTCGGGTTTCTTCCCCGACTACCTTTTCGGGTTTCTTCCCCGACTACCTTTTAAGTAGGCTGCAAAAGATCCAGTTTTCGGCAGCTAGTTTTGTTACCGGAAAATATGTGAACTCTGCGGAAACTCTATTAAAGCTTAACTGGCTGCCGATGCGTGAACGTAGAGATTTTAACCTACTCAAAGCCACCCATAAAGCAATTTATTCACAGAACTGGCCGAAGTATGCTGCAGTTGAACTATATAAACCAGCTCGCAGCCTACGCTCGAGTACCAGCTTAAATTTGGTTAGGCCCATGGAAAAGGGTACTTTCCAAGACATTTCATCCGAACTGTTCAATAGCCTACCATCTGACATTAGATCTATATACGACTACAGTCAATTCTGTACAAAAGTTAGGGCTGTACTAAAGTCTCGTATAATGTAAATATGCACTAACATTTTTATCTAAATATTCATTTTCTATATTACCTAAGTTTGTACATATATTTACATTTAGTTAAAATTTTTCTGTATGTAGTTTCAATAGGGGAAGAGCCACCTCGTGGATCTTATTGATTAAATCATTATTATTATTATTATTATTAATTATTATTAAAGAAAGATACAGACATCTAAGATCTGAGCTGATCACGGCGTGTTATGCGTTTGAAGTTATTACACTTGAAGTAACCACTCTAGGGTTTGTGTCGAAAGATATTGACAGATTTCGTAGATTGTTACGAACACTTGAAATGAACGACGAACGTATTATTAAAAAATGTATGGAGGTAGCTCTGAGAGCAACATTCTACATTTACTGCAGAAGAAACAAGCCGTGGAATAATCCAGACTTACTGAATTTTTATTAGCTACTATTGATACAAAGTGTAGAGAATGGACCTATCTGTCTAACATAGTGAACTGTTTCTCTATTTTCCTGATTTAATTGAAAGTCTAATTATGTGATATATTTGTATAAATTATCATGTTATTAATAAAGATTTCTGTTGTTTAAATTATTATTATTATTATTATTATTATTTTAACCCAAAATTAATGTTAATATAATCCTTCTTAAAATAATTATTGTACAATAAATATATAGTATCAATTCAAGTAGACATTGATAAACTACCTGTAAAGCGAGGTTTATCATTGTAGTTGTATATATCCTAATAATCAATAAATAAAGTTTCCATTATTATTATTATTACTATTATTATTATTATTATTATTATTATTATTATTATTATTATTATTATTATTATTATTATTATAAGTTGACAGGGTGGGTTAGGATAAACATAGTTAGGAAAGTAATATGACAATTGTTGTAAAAATAAATAGTCTAAGCTTAGTAAGTAATATGAGTAAGTGTAAAGCCCGTTCTCCACTAGGCGAATTTTTTCGCGCGACGCGAAGCGAAAAATAAATCTTGGTCATGTGATTGGTCAGCGAAAAAATTCGCCGCGAAAAAGTTGGATCAGTTCCTACTTTTTTACTGTTCGCGCGAACAAATTCGCCTAGTGGAGAACCGGCTTAATACTTGAAGTAAACGGCCACTGAAAAGCCCAATGGCGAGTGTGCTGAATAATCATAATCATGTCATAGAGGGCGGTCCCTTGGAAAGTTTTGCCCCGGATCTCAAGCTCTAACCGACTGAGCTTCAGAGTCCAGTTGTCGAGTTCTAACCCCAAGTTCATGTATATATTCAACATAGACGGATTTTGTGAGGGGTGCAGGGGGGTGCTACCCCCCCCAATATTAGCTATAACCCCCCCAAACAAAAATTTCCACCCCTCCAACAAATTTTCAACCCCCCCCCCCCAATATTCGGCATAATAAAAAATAATTAAATAGTCCACTCCAACGTGCAGAGTGTTAATGATACAAAATAAATGTAGGAGTACACTCAAATAGAAAAAGACAGTGCAACACTCTGAAGCTAAACGCTCCTCGCTTGCATTCACTGGTTTATTGGAGTAATTGTAAAGTTTTGAAATTCTATTATCTCCCCTGAATAGAGTTTTTTACGAACATTATTTTTAGTTTTTAATTCTTTTAGGAAATAGACTTGCCTAGATTTAATCTTTACGCCTCAAATATTATTTACATCGGAGTTGCATCGTAAATTGTACTCGGATTCAAACGACACAATGTCAATGACTTTATAAAAGTAAAAGCATATTGTGTATTGGCCTATTGGGTTTACACTTTTACAGATTCATTTAACTTTAACTCTCTCAAGTCTCAACAGACAATTGGACATGCCAAACCATTGTCATTGATATGACAACTTCAAAAAACTTTTTTACGAAGCTAGAAATCATGACTTTTTTCAAATTTTTCCAGGGATACTTTGTTTTCTGCTCTCTAGACTCCCCCTCGCGGCTCTAGTGCTCCACCCCTAGAATACAGACCTTACTGGGGTTTGGTGACACTTTGTGTTGCTTCAGTCACCTGCTCACGGCTCACCCCCCTAAAATTTCTGGCACCACCCCAGTAAAAAATATGAAAATCCGTCTATGATATTATTCAATCGAGTGAGATGCGAAAAAAATTCTGTATTTCATTCAACATACTTACATATGACGCATAGATATATTTGGAAGCCCAGACCAAGGTCAAGAACAGGAATGGTATACTGGACAGGAGACCAAGTGCACAGACCAAGGCATCAGAATTACCATAACGTAATCTATATCTACGTGATAGCTCCGCTCCCAAGGCAACGCCAATGAATCCTGCAGCACACGTGATCCCACCAAATGTCAGGCTGATGTTTCTGCATACGTAAAAACGCACAACTTGTTACAGGTCTGTAAACAAGTTGTCACAAATCTGTTCACAAGCTGCTGACAAATTGTGTTCGCACTGCTTGTTCCCAGTTGTTCGAACAAGTTTGGGACAAGTTGTTAACAACTTGTAACAAGCTTGATGGCATTATCAGACTTGTTACAAGGTTGTTCTGACAAGTCTGATACGGTCATGATATAACAAGAATGTTACAAGGTTGACCACACAAGGTTGTAACAATATTGTTATATCTTGACTGTATCGGACTTGCTGTAACAACCTTACAATTGTACATAACATCAAAACACACACAAAAAAAACTTGCAACAAGTCTGACAAGATAAACAAGTTTGTTACAAGTTGTTAACAGTTTGTTCCAAACTTGTTGACAACTTGGGACAAGCAGTGTGAACACGACTTGTTGACGGCTTGTTGGCAGCCTGACTTGCTACAAGATGTGAGATTTTTGCGTGTGGGGTCATTAATTATCAAAACCTTACTTGTCATTCTCCGTAATTTTCGTATCATAATAAACAGATTGTGAATAAGCCACAAATTCCGGCGCCCACCAAGCCAGAGCACCAGTCACAAAACACATCATCGTGAAACCAACTGTGGTCCAAATATATGTCTTGCTACAGAAATATATAAATGAAAATGTTGTTTGCAAAAAAGATAAACTAATTAAAACTCTAAAATGTTCTCCCTGGAAGTCCGTATTGATCCAATGTTACAACATGAAGAAGCCCAAACTAATTATTCGAATTGGATAATTCTATTACTCCAGCGTTACTACAGCAGAAACCTAAACCAAACTACTTTAACACATTAACCAAAATCGTCTGGCGATAGACAAGTAAAAAAATAACTAGGGCGCATTGTGGCTCAATGGGTTAATTTATATTTGTTGGATAGCTATATTAGTTCAATAATTCATACAAGGAAATCACCACCGTGTTGGTGGTTTTATATGTGATAAAAAATCACGTTAAGTTGCATAAACTATAGTCTTGATTTTCTCGGCTTAGACAACGTTGAGATAGGTCGGTTTTTAAGCCATTTAAAACATTCACATCCGTGCTTTATCAGATATAAGAGACTCAGCTGTCGCCTCGTGTTATATACCTGATAAAGCACTCCTGTTTTTTCACAATAGTACGTATATTATATGCACAGAAAAGTTTACAGGTAAACTACGTGAAGCGTTCCTCTTTTGAGTTCCTAACTCATTTGGAATTTTCAAAATTAGATTTGCAAATTTGAAAAACTCTTCGCAAATCCCTTGAGGGAATTTGCAATTTTCCTGTCGGCCGTTGCAATATTCCAACGCAAAGAAAGTTCCTTTCAAATTTTCCTAACTTCCTGTTTTAATTTCCAAACTTCCTGTTCTGTTCTGAACGTTATCATTGGTGGATTATTTTTGTTGGCCAATTGCAACGCACAGAACAGAACAGTAAGTTAGGAACTTGTAACAGGAAGTTAAGAACTTCTAACAGGAACTGAGGAAAATTTATTTTGCTCTTACGAATATTGCAAATTCCCTCAAGGGATTTGCAAGGGAGTTTTTCAAATTTGCTAAGGTAATGACGAAAATTGCAATCAACTTAGGAACTCAAAAGAGGAACGCTTCACATAGTTTACCTGTAAGAGGCAATTTTTTTTCAATGTCACGTATTTGCAATGAAAAGTGTTCAAAACCTAAAATCTTTTTGGCGTTCCTCTCAAAATTACTTTGTTTTTAGCTTTATTCTCTAGTTTATAGAGTTAGCTACCTTTTTAAATGCATCTTCCGGTTTTGAGAAACATAAAATAATAGTTAAAAATTGTCAATTGAAATACAATTGTCAATGTTGCTTTAAAATTGACGCCATATTTACAGCCATATAAGGAAAACTTACTGAACTTCAGACATCATTTTCTCTTTGGCGTATCATCGTAAAATCTCTTCATTTTAGCATTATTTTACAGATAAAACACTAAACATACTTTTTAAGTTTGTTTGCCGATTGAGAAACGTATCGAAAAATAAAAATTTTGAATTTAGTCATAACTTCAAGTGATATATTATACGCATTAGTTTTGAGTGCGTGTTACGTAACATACAAAAAATCTCCTCTTAATTAAATCTAAATTTTATATGTTAAGTACTCAACAAATACATATATTTTTATCACTCACCATCGTAGGATATGTTTGACATCGTTAAACCATGAATGACGAATGATGACCCCTTCGTCAGCAATGACTTCACCTTGCCCCTGGTTTTTCTCGATCTGCCCTCGTACAGGCTCAACAACAAATATAACACAGAGAATGATCAGTAACACTCCTAAAATTGGTGTCACCTGAAAATAGAGAGAAAAATGTAAAAGGGTGCAACTACCTGAAACTAAATACAAGGAGAACTTCGACATCGCGACTGAATGCCTTTCAGCGGGAAGTTAGCAAAAACTTGACTAAGCAACCCAATAACCAAGGATTGACTGGAACTTACCCTTAATCCCCACTGCCAATGACCACCAGCAACTGATGACACTTTTGAACCAACAACATAACCAAGGCCACTGGATTGAGAAAATTGAACAATATGGGTTTACTAGATGCATGATGGTCAACTACAGTATACAGATGAATGTTTTTATTCGTGTAATGGTAAGAATATTTTCATGAGGTGAAAATATTCTTACCATTGAAAATATTCTTACCAGTGAAAATATTCTTACCATTGCACGAATAAAAACATTCATTATTTGTTTTATTCATTTTTTATTTGTTTGTTTTGTTCATTTTTTGTTTTATTCATTTTTCATTGTGGAAATTATATTTCTCACCTCCCAACTGGAATAGCAAAATAAAACAATGCCAGCATTTTTGTTCTTTGATCAGCAATAAAAAGATCGCCAATCACAGTCGAGGCAACGGTTGAATAGCTTGCCTCGCCAATACCCACAAGTCCTCGGAAAGTGAAGAAAAGCCAATATTGCTATGGTGGAAAAAATTTTGCAAGATTAACTGCAGAATGCCTCCCCAATACAAGTGCTAAGGGGACACATCAATGTGTCTTTGTTAGTGAAGTGTCTGTTGAACACTTTTTTGAAATTAATTTTGAAACAAATGCAAGGGATATAAGTTTTATTTTACAATCATGTTTCAATGCTAATGCCCACATAATTTTCAAGTTGAATTAGCCATTCCGAATTTGATGAGAGGACTGGGGACGAGTGTTAAAAAGTGGCCAAATTTAGAAATGAACCACGTCACTAAAAAGACCACCTCAAAATTAGTAAGTATGCAAAGTTTGAAGACGTTTACATGAATACCCTTCGAATAATAAGCTTCCGAAAATTGTGAAATTACTGCAGATTAAAAGACTGTTTTTGGGATGTGAGTCCCCAAAAACAAAAATTACAGTACATTTCATAGTAAATATTACGATTTTCGAAAGCTTATTATTTATTCGAAGGGTATTCATGTAAACGTCTTCAAACTTTGTATACTTACTAATTTTGAGGTGGTCTTTTTAGTGATTTGGTTCATTTCTTAATTTGGGCACTTTTTAACACTCGTCCCCAGTCCTCTCATCAACTTCGGAATGGCTAATTAATTAATTTACATAATTGCATATTATTGTTGAATTTTAGTATTTAAAGTAATATTCTAATTGCACTTAGAATATCTCATTATTATAATTATCTCATTTGCCAATAATGCAACATGAACTGTTTCATTATAAGACATGTTTCAAACGTTGTGCTTCTCAATGCCAAACGCATTAGAAACGATAGATAACGAGGCATTTCAGCTGATTATATCTATTGTTCTTAATGTGTTCAGCATATGAGAAGCGCGACGTTTGAAACAGGCCTAAAATGCACTTATGTAAATCAATTCAACTTGAAAATGATGCATGAATTAGCATCAAACACTTACATACAAACTTACTGTATGTCACTAGTATTTGTTTTGGGGTTATTTTTAGAAGAAAATATACAAGAAATTGAGAGCTATCTATGTTAGGACATACATTTTCGTTAACGAGTGTGCTACAAAATGTCATCAAAGACCACACAAAGAGACCAAAGATCATAATAAACTTGCGACTGTATCTATCGCCAAGATAACCAAATATTGGAGCAAATATCATATAGCTAACAATAAATACAGTTTGTAGTAATCCAGCTAAACCATGATTTATATTGAAATAACCTTGGATCTTTTGTAAAACACCTAGAAATGAAAATGACATCATAATGATGATGCAGACTTCACCCATGAAGTTGCATTGCGCCCTGATGTGCCCTAATTTATTATTTCACTCTGTCTAATGCCAGACAATTTTACTTCTCAAGAGGAGAGTGCTGGCCCTCAATGAGTTAATAATCAAAAGGTGTTTTCACCAAACTAAAATAATATTTAATTCATGATTTTTCTGTGTTGGTGTAATGTACTCAGGTGAATATTATGCTTGTGATGTTACTCTGAGTGTAATTATCCACACCGGGCAAGCTTGAAAAATATGCCTGACAACGGTGGGAATCAAACCTATCACTTTTGGAATCAGTTGGTAGAGCATTGGGCTAGTATTCCAAAGGTCGTAGGTTCGATTCCCACCATGGTCAGGCATATTTTTCAAGCTTGCCCTGTGTGGATAATTACACTCAGAGTAACATCACAAGCATAATATTTAACTCATTAATAGCCAACTGCCAACATTCTCCTCTTGACAAGTAAAATCACCTGGCATTAAACAGAGTAAGAAAATAAAATTGGGGACATTAGGAAATGTTAATAATGGGTTAATCAAACACATTCTCCCCTTGACAAGTGAAGTCATCAGGCAGGATAAACTAATAAAGCATTAGGAACATTGGAGTTTGATGGGTTATCACAATGCAAACCTACAAGGAAACACACACATTAGGTAAGCAAACGGACAGCTGTCTGAATATGATAATTCCATGTACTTGTTTTGATATATTTCATGCATTTAAATTAATAATTAAAAACAAATTATCTAGTATATTGTAATCAGCCTTCAAAAATATATTTAACAAGCTGAAATACACCTCAATGCACCCTGCTTTACTATTTTGCTTTGTCTACACCAGATGATTTTACTTGTCAAAAAGAGACGCACAAAATTAATATATTGTACTAAAGACAAATTTCCACAAAGAAACGTTCTTCTGATAATTCATTTGCAATTAAATATAGCAATCAGATAGATAATCTCTTCAGCCTTCGTAATTCTCCTTGGCACTCGTCAATTGCCAAGGCATATATATTGAGGATGTTATGTCTTGCCTCTGCAAAAAATCACCAATTTTGCCAAGTCAAAAATAGGCCAATTATGCGGGCTGTCCATTAAAATGAACAATCTGCATACTACCGAGAAAATATCAGACAGTATATATAAATCACACAATTCTAGTTGCTTCATTCGGATAGTTTGTAGGAATGAGCCTATAATAAAAAATTAATCGATAGTCGGTAGAAGCCCATAACCTTTCATGAAGGTCAGTTATCACGACCGATCACATTGAGTCTGACATATATCGGCATGTATTGGCAGTCCAATAAATATCATTCTGGCTTTTACATGTAAAATTTCCTTTTCTCTATCAAGCCAAACTGTGGTTTGTTTGTCAGAAAGATTCCCTTCCATAATAGAACTTTGATATGGTGGTTTGTAATTCCAATTTCCATCATTCAATTAGTTCATGATATTTAAATTAACTAAATTCAACCCTCGACTATTGTGATGACATTTCTGTCACTGGTCTGTTAACTCTTATGTTTTGCTAGCATTTTGCCCCAATTTCCAGTGTTGGGAACTCCTGTTAACAAATATCGCCTATATCGGTATAAACCACTCATAAACCGGCCGATCGGATGGTAAATCAGATCGGAATTTATTGGATCAGTAAAACCGATTTGTCTTGATCGGCTTATCCCTAAAGCCCCATTTACACGAGCAAATTTTATTTGACAAATTTCATTTGATCAAATGCATTTGATCAAAAGCTAACATGCTAGCTTTTGTTCAAATGCATTTGTCACAATAAATTTGTCACAAACTTATCATCTACACGAGCAAAATATCTTTGACACATGAAATTTGTCAAATAAAATTTGCTCGTGTAAATGGGGCTTAATAGTCTGTCTTCTCCAATACACTACAACGCATGACCCATTAAATGGATGATACATCAGATGGATGGCATGTCCTGTCACCCTTGAGGAAGTCTGTGAAAAGCAGTTTTCAACAATAATATTTTGGGCATATTGTGTAAAAATTCACAGGTCGATCATCCACGACAATAAATATCGAAAATGAAAACGCATTTACAGTACTTTCGAAAGGAATACTAACAAAATTATATCATTTCAAAAAAAGCATGTGATTTCAAGTGTGAATTGTTTGCTGTAGCAAACGTCATTCACCAATAACAAAATACTGACCTGCAACAGTGAAGCGGTCCATATAGTTCAATAAATTGATGAAAAATAAAATTATAACAGTGATACGGGCACGAAGTAATGACACACGTGGCATACTTGGTTGTGGCGAAGCTGATTGCATGTCAAAGATGTTTTGCAGGTGTGTATTTTCTGTTTTTCTTTCAATGAATTATGAATATGCAAAATGTTCTTTTCCAATATGGCTGTTGCGTGTGTTCCACGCGTGACCAGCACGCAAATATATAGTACATTTGTTATATACAGATCAGTGTATCATTGGGATTTGAGTAATTAGTATTTGATTTAGGATTGGATTACAGATAGGATTAGCTATAGGGCTTGCACTGGCTTATATATAGGGTAGGGGGTTATATATATATATATATATATATGGACAACATTTGATGTTAATATTAATATTTATAAAAACTACTTCAAAAACTCATTAATAATTCATGAGGAAAACACAAAGAGAAATCATAAGCGTGGCATGTCTTTATATGTGATAAAACACGCTTCAAATTTCAACTTGTATTTTCTCAGCTAATACAAAGTTATTTTGGAAAATTATTTTGCCAATGCTGTGATCTAACTGAGACGTTTTTGAAGCTGTTTAATAAACTCGTACTGTAGTTCATGTTTTATCACATATAAAACACTCTGCTACGCCTCATGTTTTATATGTGATAAAACACTCCTACTCGTTTATTAAACAGTACATCACGAACAAAAAGAAATATAAACATAGTATATAACACATAATATTGATAATAAAACAAGTTGGTTAAATTAACATATTATAATACTATGTTTGTGATGTTACTCTGAGTGCATATCCACACCGGGCGAGCTTGAAAAATATGCCCGGCCACGGTGGGATTCGAACCTACGACCTTTGGAATACTAGCCCAATGCTCTTCCAACTGAGCTACGCGGTCAGGACGATTCGAGTAAGTGATATTTCGGAACAGTATCTAGTTCCTTCAATACCAATGTGTTCTTGTAATATGAATTTTTTCTGTGCTGGTGTTGTGTACTCAGGTGAATAAGATGTTTGTGATGTTACTCTGAGTGCATATCCACAGCATTATCCGAAATATCACTTACTCGAATCGTCCTGACCGCGTAGCTCAGTTGGAAGAGCATTGGGCTAGTATTCCAAAGGTCGTAGGTTCGAATCCCACCGTGGCCGGGCATATTTTTCAAGCTCGCCCGGTGTGGATATGCACTCAGAG